TATTATTGCCTTGCTAATGGTCAGATGTATAACAGCATTTTTTAAACTTGCGAATCAGTCGATAAAACTTGCTATCCTAGCGATCTTGAGTGTAGATCAGCTGTCCTTGAGTGTAGATCAACTGACCTTCAGTATAGATCAACTGACCTTGAGTATAGATTAGCTGACCTTGAGTGTAGATCAGCTGACCTTGAGTGTAGATCGGCTGACCTTGAGTGTAGATCGGCTGACCTTGAGTGTAGCTCGGCTGACCTTGAGTGTATATCAGCTGACCTTCAGTATAGATCAACTGACCTTGAGGTATGATATCTCTAGTTAAAGACAAATTATCGATCTAGTCGGATGTTGGTTATAAGGCCGTCTTATCGAGGCAATCAGAATAAAATGTCTGTTATAAAACTCTGAGCCACGCCGAGTTATCCTGCCCGAGTATTGGGTAACGTCCCCTTGTTGCCGGGAGAGGGCGGTGATGAGGGACGCGGGGTGGTCAAGTGGTTAGCTCCCAGCTGGATCAACAAAGATTTGGTGCCATCCACCGCTTCGATTTTCCTGAGCGCCATCGGATCCATCTCGGGAGCTCGTTGACAGATGATCTTTACACATTTATCATCCTTGTGGCGGGGGGTGGGCTCGGTTAGACTTCCGGTGTCCCACTTTAACTCTTTACTGACCGTCGAGGTCAGTCACTGAAGGACTAGTTATTGATTTGGTTATCGTGAAAGTTACTTTATCGGTGGGGTGGGGGGTTAATAGTGGCACTAGCCAGGGTATGTAAGGGTTAATAAAGAATCAGGAATTTGGTGGTTAATAGACGCACTAGGATCAGGAATTAGGGGGTTAATACTTGCACTAGTGGGGGTTAATAGTGACACTAGGATCGGGAAGGTAAGGGTTAATAGTTGCACTAGTCTGGGTGTGTGGGGTTTATAGTGACTTGTGTGATTATGTAGGGTTTGGTGTTGGTACTGATGTGGATGGTGTTGTGGATGGTGGTGTGGGTGATGGTGTGGGTGATAGTGTGAGTGATGGTGTTGGGTTTGGTGTTGGTGCTGATGTGGATGGTGTTGTGGATGGTGTTGTGGGTGATGGTGTGAGTGATGGTGTTGGGTTTGGCGTTGGTGCTGATGTAGATGGTGTTGTGGATGTTGGTGTGGGTGATGGTGTGAGTGAAGTATGTGGATGTAGGGATGAAGTGGGTGGAGGTGAGTTACTTATTTAGAATGAATATCTTTTTAAACGAGGTGATGATTTGATGGTTTGACGGCTTCTAGTGCTTATCCAACGATTGTATTTTTAAATCTTTTCGAACCAATCTGGCATTTTCAAAGCACGAGTTATGAAACATACATTTGAGATAATTATTTTAGAATTAGAGAAATGGGAATAAAGAGTCAAATCTCTGACGTCACACGTCACAACAAAATGAAAACCTCATTAAATCGAGATTACTCCCTGACAGATCCGTATTATGAGGAGGTGGGGTAGGGGTGGGCTGTGGGTGGAGCACGCAGGTTGAAATATCGAAGCTAAACCTGAGCTTAAAGCGAGAGCTGAGTCGGCTCTATCCCCCCCCCCCTCCCCCCACCGCCCCTACACACGGTTCCAGAAACATCTAAGACAGGTCAGCCGACCGACGGAAAATGTCATTCTGTCTTTAATGACAGGTATAAGACATGTCTTCAAACCACATGAGGGAAAATCTAGGCTCAAGACACACAAGACACACGAGACATGTGTTTACAAATGACGAGACATCTTCAAGACACAAGGACCTTAGACAGGGACGTGTCTTCAGTGAGTGTCTTTGTTTAATATAAAAAAATGATTTCAAGTAAAGCTTTTAGCTTGAACAAAATCAATTAATTTTCTCATTCAACTTTTTGGATTGTTTTTCTCCAATTATTTCAATGCCCTCTTTAAATTGTTTCTATCAGCTATTTGGATTATCCCTCTTAAATTGTTACATTTTGATATTTGGATAATCTCTCTTAAATTTAGCTATTCGGATTCTCTCCCATACATTTTTGCATTCAGCTGTTTGTATTATCTCCCTTGAATCGTAACATTATGCTGTTTGTATTATCTGCCTTGAATCGTTACTTTCAGTTTTTTTTAATTGTGATAACCTTGTACACGGTAACTTACAAACGGGAATTTATGTAACCAGTCAGTAACCAGTCAGTAACCAGTTAGTAACCAGTCAGTAACCAGTCAGTAACCAGTTAGTAACCAGTCAGTAACCAGTCAGTAACCAGTTAGTAACCAGTCAGTAACCAGTTAGTAACCAGTCAGTAACCAGTCAGTAACCATTTACAAGAACAAACTCGCCAGCAGTTTTGATGTTTTGATCTTGTATTAAATGTCACGCCAAACTCTATCATGACTAGTTTCCCCTATGCCCGCAAGCGGTTTGATTATTCAACATTTTGTAGAACAGCAATTAGATTGTTTTAACAAAACTATCTTTATAAACCACTTACAGGAGATTTTACAGGGAGGAATGGAGGGCAACATTCTACACGAACACACGGGTTTAAAAACTTGGTACATTCATAAGATTGTCGTGATGTCACGTTATAAATTGGAACTTTTTAAAATGTGGGGTTAGAACATTTATTCTGCTTTTTGTTTGATTGCATACACACTGTTACGTCATCAAATTAGCAGAAATTAAACGCCGTTTGTTTTTATGTCCATACAATGATTTCATTTTCTCGCGTTTTCGTGTTTAGCTCCACAGAACGAGATTTTCTCATCTGTCAGGAGATCACGGTTAGAGGATTCTTGGGGAGAGGGGGGTGGGGGGGGGGGGGTTATAGGGAGGTACACACTGAGTTTACACCATGTGCATGCCTGTGTATGTCTAGCGTGTTGTGTTTCACAATGACACACGACCTTGACCCGCTGAATGACTTATTAGTTCAGAGGTCAAAATATCTTGTCTCGGAAAAGTCGGATAAGTAGGATAAGTCGGATACTTCTGGGGTCAGGTCGCATATTTTATCGAAGATTCTAAAAGCCGTCGTTAAGTTGCTGAGCTTAATTAAGAAAATTGTTAATTAATTTATTGTAACGTCAGGTCTGGAATAGGTCATTGCCTAGCCACCCACAAAACGCTTCACCGTGTGATCTTTCAGTGTCTGAAAACATCACAACCAATCCATTGTGCTACTGATGGCCAACAAATCAATACCGTCTTTGTGCGCTTCGTTCTTGTGCGCATCGTCTTTGTCATCGACTGAGGGTCCTTCTGACGTTTGAGGCAACATCAAAAGATTTGAACGAGAGCGTCCAATCGTTCAACTCCAAACTGTCGGCTGCACATTTACAATGGGCAGACGAGAGCAAGCCAACTTTATCCAACGTTCTTACATTCACCGCAGCAAGACGCATCGGTTTTGTGTGACGTCACACGTCACATCAGTGACTGCTCGTGGGACGGAGGATCCGGACACAAAAGTCTGGTGTGTTAGACACAGAGGTCTAGAGTGTTAGACACAGAGGTCTAGTGTGTTAGACACAGAGGTCTAGTGTGTTAGACACAGAGGTCTAGTGTGTTAGACACAGAGGTCTAGTGTGTTAGACACAGAGGTCTAGTGTGTTAGACACAGAGGTCTAGTGTGTTAGGCACAGAGGCCTAGTGTGTTAGACACTAAGGGGGGATAATACGATGAAATGCTACCAATCAAATCAATAGATTACTATATTCAAAACCAGAAGGGGAGATAACAAGCTAGACGCGATCATCGAATGAGATGAGCCAAGTTCACATTAAATTGTGTTTTATTTGTGTGTTTAGTGTTGCTTTGGCTGTAGGTGTGATGTTGGGGTATGTGGGGTGATTGGTAGGGGTATGTTGTGTGGGAATGTCGTGCGTGAGGATGTGGTGTGGAGGTGTGGTGTGGTGTGTAGGTGTTGTGGGGTGGTGTGGGGGTGTGGTGTGGTGTGGAGGTGTGATAGGATGTGGAGGTGTGGTGTGGAGTACATGTGTGGTGTGGAGGTGTGGTGTGGAGGTATGGAGGTGTGGTGTGGAGGTGTGGTGTGGAGTACATGTGTGGTGTGGAGGTATGGAGGTGTGGTGTGGAGGTATGGAGGTGTGGTGTGGAGGTATGGAGGTGTGGAGGTTAGGTGTGGTGTGGAGGTTAGGTGTGGTTTGGAGGTGTGGTGTGAAGGTATGATGTGGAGGTGTGGTGTGGAGTACAAGTGTGGTGTGGTGTGGTGTGGAGTACAAGTGTGGTGTGGAGGTTAAGTGTGATGTGGTGTGGAGGTGTGGAGGTTTGGAGGTGTGGTGTGGAGGTTAGGTGTGGTGTGGAGGTTAGGTGTGGTGTGGAGGTGTGGTGTGAAGGTATGATGTGGAGGTGTGGTGTGGAGGTGTGGTGTGGTGTGGTGTGATGTGGAGCTGTGGTGTGGAGTACTGGTGTGGTGTGGAAGTGTGGTGTGGAGGTGGGATAGTGTGCAGTGTGGAGGTATGGTGTGGAGGTGTGGTATGGCGTGAAGAAGTGATGTGGAGGTGTGGTATGGTGGTGTGGAGGTGTGATGAGATGTGGTGTTGTGTGGAGGTGTGGTGGTGTGTGACGTGGAGGTGTCGTGTGGTGGGGTGTGGATGTGTGGTGTGGAGATGTGGAGGTGTGGTGTGGTGTGGAGGTGTGGTGTGGTGTGAAGGCGTGGTGCGGAGGTGTGGTGTGGAGGTGTGGTATGGTGTTGCGGTGGGGTGTGGTGTGGGGGTGTGGTGTGGTGTGGAGGTGTGGTGTGGTGTGAAGGCGTGGTGCGGAGGTGTGGTGTGGAGGTGTGGTATGGTGTTGCGGTGGGGTGTGGTGTGGGGGTGTGGTATGGTGTGAAGGTGTGGTGTGGTATGGTGTGGAGGTATGATGTGGAGTTGTGGTTGGTGTGGAGGTGTGGTGTTGTGTGGTGTGGAGGTGTGGAGGTGTGGTGTGGTGTGGAGATGTGGAGGTGTGGTGTGGAGGTGTGGTGTGGTGTGGTGTGGAGGTGTGTCTACTTACTGGCCCAGACAACAGGTAGTGGTAGTTCTCACGGTTCATCCCGACGTCCACGATCTGGGGGGCAAAAATATACAAAATATAAGATGGGAGGGTTGGTGGATAACATGAGAGGATTGGTGGATAATATGAGAGTGTTGGTGGATAATATGGGAGAGTTGGTTGATAATATGAAAGGGTTGGTGGAGAAGACGGTTGATGGATAACATGGGAGGGTTGGTCAAATGAGGGTTGGTGTGTAACATTAGATAAAACAAAAAGAAACGAAGTTTTAAAAATAAAAGTTTGACTTGTTTTGTGCATCGATTACCCCACAACCCATCCTCCCCACCCCTCCCATACACCCCATAGCTCCCCACAAGACATGATGGATCAGAGCGGTCAGTCTTGTACTAGGATTTAACTTGGCTGCGGTCAGACAACTTAATGTCTCCCATCTCTATTTCAGCAGGCAATTGCTTGTGGTCAGTCAGTACAGTCGTGTGGTCAGTCAGTACAGTCGTGTGGTCAGTCAGTACAGTCGTGTGGTCAGTCAGTACAGTCGTGTGGTCAGTCAGTACAGTCGTGTGGTCAGTACAGTCGTGTGGTCACTACAGTCTTGTGGTCAGTCAGTACAGTTGTGTGGTCAGTCAGTACAGTCGTGTGGTCAGTCAGTACAGTTGTGTGATCAGGCAGTACAGTCGTGTGGTCAGTACAGTCGTGTGGTCAGTACAGTCGTGTGGTCAGTCAGTACAGTCGTGTGGTCAGTCAGTACAGTCGTGTGGTCAGTCAGTACAGTCGTGTGGTCAGTCAGTACAGTTGTGTGATCAGGCAGTACAGTCGTGTGGTCAGTACAGTCGTGTGGTCAGTCAGTACAGTCGTGTGGTCAGTCAGTAAAGTCGTGTGGTCAGTACAGTCGTGTGGTCAGTCAGTACAGTCGTGTGGTTAGTCAGTACAGTCGTGTGGTCAGTACAGTCGTGTGGTCAGTCAGTACAGTTGTGTGATCAGGCAGTACAGTCGTGTGGTCAGTCAGTACAGTCGTGTGGTCAGTACAGTTGTGTGGTCAGTACAGTCGTGTGGTCAGTCAGTACAGTCGTGTGGTCGGTACAGTCGTGTGGTCAGTACAGTCGTGTGGTCAGTACAGTCGTGTGGTCAGTACAGTCGTGTGGTAAGTACAGTCGTGTGGTCAGTCAGTACAGTCGTGTGGTCAGTCACTACAGTCGTGTGGTCAGTCAGTACAGTCGTGTGGTCAGTCAGTACAGTCGTGTGGTCAGTCAGTACAGTCGTGTGGTCAGTCAGTACAGTTGTGTGATCAGTCAGTACAGTCGTGTGGTCAGTCAGTACAGTCGTGTGGTCAGTCAGTACAGTCGTGTGGTCAGTCAGTACAGTCGTGTGATCAGTCAGTACAGTTGTTTGGTCAGTCAGTACAGTCGTGTGGTCAGTCAGTACAGTCGTGTGATCAGTCAGTACAGTTGTTTGGTCAGTCAGTACAGTCGTGTGGTCAGTACAGTCGTGTGGTCAGGCAGTACAGTCGTGTGGTCAGTCAGTACAGTCGTGTGGTCAGTACAGTCGTGTGGTCAGTCAGTACAGTTGTGTGGTCAGTCAGTACAGTCGTGTGGTCAGTCAGTACAGTCGTGTGGTCAGTACAGTCGTGTGGTCAGTACAGTCGTGTGGTCAGTACAGTCGTGTGGTCAGTCAGTACAGTCTTGTGGTCAGTCAGTACAGTTGTGTGGTCAGTCAGTACAGTCGTGTGGTCAGTACAGTCGAGTGGTCAGTACAGTCGTGTGGTCAGTCAGTACAGTCGTGTGGTCAGTCAGTACAGTCGTGTGGTCAGTCAGTACAGTCGTGTGGTCAGTACAGTCGTGTGGTCAGTACAGTCGTGTGGTCAGTCAGTACAGTCGTGTGGTCAGTCAGTACAGTCGTGTGGTCAGTCAGTACAGTCGTGTGGTCAGTACAGTCGTGTGGTCAGTACAGTCGTGTGGTCAGTCAGTACAGTCGTGTGGTCAGTCAGTACAGTCGTGTGGTCAGTCAGTACAGTCGTGTGGTCAGTACAGTCGAGTGGTCAGTACAGTCGAGTGGTCAGTACAGTCGTGTGGTCACTACAGTCGTGTGGTCAGTACAGTCGTGTGGTCAGTCAGTACAGTTGTGTGGTCAGTCAGTACAGTCGTGTGGTCAGTCAGTACAGTCGTGTGGTCAGTACAGTCGAGTGGTCAGTACAGTCGTGTGGTCACTACAGTCGTGTGGTCAGTACAGTCGTGTGGTCAGTCAGTACAGTCGTGTGGTCAGTCAGTACAGTCGTGTGGTCAGTACAGTCGTGTGGTCAGTCAGTACAGTCGTGTGGTCAATCAGTACAGTCGTGTGGTCAGTACAGTCGTGTGGTCAGTCAGTACAGTCGTGTGGTCAGTACAGTCGTGTGGTCAGTCAGTACAGTCGTGTGGTCAGTACAGTCGTGTGGTCAGTCAGTACAGTCGTGTGGTCAGTCAGTACAGTCGTGTGGTCAGTCAGTACAGTCGTGTGGTCAGTACAGTCGTGTGGTCAGTCAGTACAGTCGTGTGGTCAGTCAGTACAGTCGTGTGGTCAGTCAGTACAGTCGTGTGGTCACTACAGTCGTTTTGTCAGTACAGTCGTGTGGTCAGTACAGTCGTGTGGTCAGTACAGTCGTGTGGTCAGTACAGTCGTGTGGTCAGTACAGTCGTGTGGTCAGTCAGTACAGTCGTGTGGTCAGTCAGTACAGTTGTGTGGTCAGTCAGTACAGTTGTGTGGTCAGTCAGTGCAGTCGTGTGGTCAGTACAGTCGTGTGGTCAGTCAGTACAGTTGTGTGGTCAGTCAGTACAGTCGTGTGGTCAGTCAGTACAGTCGTGTGGTCAGTACAGTCGTGTGGTCAGTACAGTTGTGTGGTCAGTACAGTCGTGTGGTCAGTCAGTACAGTCGTGTGGTCAGTCAGTACAGTCGTGTAGTCATTAGAGTCGTGTGGTCAGTCAGTACAGTCGTGTGGTCAGTACAGTCGTGTGGTCAGTCAGTACAGTCGTGTGGTCAGTCAGTACAGTTGTGTGGTCAGTCAGTACAGTCATGTGGTCAGCCAGTACAGTCGTGTGGTCAGTACAGTCGTGTGGTCAGTACAGTCGTGTGGTCAGTCAGTACAGTCGTGTGGTCAGTCAGTACAGTCGTGTGGTCAGTACAGTCGTGTGGTCAGTACAGTCGTGTGGTCAGTACAGTTGTGTGGTCAGTCAGTACAGTCGTGTGGTCAGTCAGTACAGTTGTGTGGTCAGTCAGTACAGTCATGTGGTCAGCCAGTACAGTCGTGTGGTCAGTACAGTCGTGTGGTCAGTACAGTCGTGTGGTCAGTCAGTACAGTCGTGTGGTCAGTCAGTACAGTCGTGTGGTCAGTCAGTACAGTCGTGTGGTCAGTCAGTACAGTCGTGTGGTCAGTCAGTACAGTCGTGTGGTCAGTACAGTCGTGTGGTCAGTCAGTACAGTCGTGTGGTCAGTACAGTCGTGTGGTCAGTCAGTACAGTCGTGTGGTCAGTCAGTACAGTCGTGTGGTCAGTCAGTACAGTCGTGTGGTCAGTCAGTACAGTCGTGTGGTCAGTCAGTACAGTCGTGTGGTCAGTACAGTCGTGTGGTCAGTACAGTCGTGTGGTCAGTCAGTACAGTCGTGTGGTCAGTCAGTACAGTTGTGTGGTCAGTACAGTCGTGTGGTCAGTCAGTACAGTCGTGTGGTCAGTACAGTCGTGTGGTCAGTACAGTCGTGTGGTCAGTCAGTACAGTCGTGTGGTCAGTACAGTTGTGTGGTCAGTACAGTCGTGTGGTCAGTCAGTACAGTCGTGTGGTCAGTACAGTGGTGTGGTCAGTAAAGTCGTGTGGTCAGTCAGTACAGTCGTGTGGTCAGTCAGTACAGTCGTGTGGTCAGTCAGTACAGTCGTGTGGTCAGTCAGTACAGTCGTGTGGTCAGTCAGTACAGTCGTGTGGTCAGTCAGTACAGTCGTGTGGTCAGTCAGTACAGTCGTGTGGTCAGTCAGTACAGTCGTGTGGTCAGTACAGTCGTGTGGTCAGTCAGTACAGTCGTGTGGTCAGTCAGTACAGTCGTGTGGTCAGTCAGTACAGTCGTGTGGTCAGTCAGTACAGTCGTGTGGTCAGTACAGTCGTGTGGTCAGTCAGTACAGTCGTGTGGTCAGTCAGTACAGTCGTGTGGTCAGTACAGTCGTGTGGTCAGTCAGTACAGTCGTGTGGTCAGTCAGTACAGTCGTGTGGTCAGTACAGTCGTGTGGTCAGTCAGTACAGTCGTGTGGTCATCTACTTTGCCCTGGTTATGTCTCCAGCCAGACCAATCAGACCATGTCAGTCACCTCCCATCTAACGACAGCCCATAACCCCAGCTTGCGAGGGAGTTGACTTTGGACATGAGCCGCCACAAATTTTGTTGAATCCAAAACCTCCATTCTCCCGCTAATTTGGGCTCGTAGTCTCGCCCAGATTCCAATAGTCTGCACGTCAAGTTTATAGTCGTCTGCCAGGAGTCCATGGACGGGTCTAGCTTTAGTCCGCTGATAAGTTAGGGTCAGAGGTCGAAATGTGGTCAATAGAGGACATAGTGTGCCGGCACTTATATGTGGCAAAGCAGTGCTTATTGGAAAATACTTTCGTTTAATTGACCTTTGTTCAATCTTACCCCTAACACCAGCTGGCTTCACGTCAAGACTCAGACATTAAATAAATAGGTTCAGATTGGCCCAGTTTACCTGGTTAAGGATGGCCCAGTTTACCTTGTTAATGGTGGCCCAGTTTACCTGATAAGGATGGCCCAGTTTACCTGGTTGGGAATGGCCCAATTTACCTGGTTGGGAATGGCCCAGTTTACCTGGTTTAGGATGGCCCAGTTTACCTGGTTAAGGATGGCCCAGTTTACCTGATAAGGATGGCCCAGTTTACCTGGTTAAGGATGGCCCAGTTTACCTGGTTTAGGATGGCCCAGTTTACCTGGTTAAGGATGGCCCAGTTTACCTGATAAGGATGGCCCAGTTTACCTGGTTAAGGATGGCCCAGTTTACCTGGTTAAGGGTGGCCCAGTTTACCTTGTTAATGGTGGCCCAGTTTACCTGATAAGGATGGCCCAGTTTACCTGGTTTAGGATGGCCCAGTTTACCTGTTTAAGGATGGCCCAGTTTACCTGGTTTAAGATGGCCCAGTTTACCTGGTTGAGGATGGCCTGAAACGCCTCCCGGGTCGAGAGGTTGAGCACGATCCTCTTGGTGCTAGCCGGGCTGGAGAACCGGTCCAGTTGCCGGAGGAAGTCGTGGGCAGACGTCAGGTTCCGTACACGTCTGGCGTCGATCACGATTCCCTTCTCTGGTCGTCTGAAGGAGTCGTGGAGGCGTTGTAGCTCCCATAGGGCTGGGGGCAACATGACATTAGGGTAACATGGGGCAACATGACATTAAGGTAACTTGGGACAACATGACATTAGGGTAACATGGGACAACATGACATTAGGGTAACATGGGACAACATGACATTAGGGTAACTTGGGACAACATGACATTAGGGTAACATCAGACAACATGACATTAGGCTAACATGGGACAACATGACATTAGGGTAACATGGGATGACATTAGGGTAACATGGGATGACATTAGGTTAACATCATACAACATGACATAAGGGTAACATGGGACAACATGACATTAGGGTAACATGGGACAACATGACATTAGGGTAACATGGGATGACATTAGGGTAAAATGGGACAACATGACATTAGGGTAACATGGGACAACATGACATTAGGGTAACATGGGACAAAATGACATTAGTGTAACATGGGATGACATGACATTAGTGTAACATGGGATGACATTAGGGCAACATGGGAGAACATGACAACAGGGTGACATGAGATAACATGACGTTAGGGTAACAAGAGAGACAAGATAATATACCTGGGACAACATATATATTTGGCTAACACGGAGACATGCATGATGTAAAAACTTTAACACTTGTTGCCAAGTGAATCTATGAAGATTGAAATTATTTGTAAACTGATTAAAAACAACTATTTTAACAGCAAACTGACTTAAGACTTCCAACATTTTTTTCAATCTTTGCCACGTTCAACACTTTAGGCGAATTCTACTGTTTAAATTCACTGCATAAAAATAGCTATTTCGGGTTTTCAATCTGTTCAAAAATGTTTCGGAGTAATGTTTTCAAGAGCAGGGACCGATAATTTGTTATTTCGTTTTTATTTATTTATAGATTTTAGGATGCTAGTTTTTATTTACATCTGTTTCGTGTCATCGGAATTCAATTATCGAACCTGGGATCGATAAAAAAAAAGGTCTCCGTGTCAGCCTGATCGTCAGCGTCTAAAAATGTGGCTCTGTTTTCCCGGGGTAATCCAACAAGTAGTGACAAAAGTGGGGAGATTATCCAACAGTCGGTGACCTCGTTCCCATACTGGATCGGGTGGATGAATGGATAATTGGATGATTGGATGAATGGATGAATGGCTTTAGTTTTTTTCCAGTTCAGAATATCGTGTGAAAATCAACGCCAATTGGAGTTCTTTATTAGTCGCCTACACACACCATACGCTTGCCCTACCCACACCTCAAGCTTGCCCTACCCACACCACAAGATATGGAGCTACCCACAATTTAAATTATTCGGCTACCTGCACTGAAGTGTGTCTGTCATGTAGATGTCATGTAGATATGTCATGCAGATAAGTCGTGATGTTATGCAGATAAGTCATGATGTCATGCAGATAAGTCATGATGTCAAGCCCATGCCACATACCGTCATCTGAATCAAAGACGTAGTAGACTTTATGCCAGTTGAAAAACTTGATGACGTCAGCTACGGCGTTGACGTAGCCTGGACTGAGGCTGATGTCGTAATCGTAGCCATCGTTCTCGTTGTTGATGGTCTGTGAGTACACGATGTAGGGGACCTGCAGGGCGTGGCTGTACGACTGGATGATGTTGTAGGTGCGGGACGTCGACGACCCCAGCAGCAGGACCACGCCCTGGTCTAGACGTTTGCATACTGTTGGGAAATAAAAGGGCTGAGTCAGCTCATGCGCGAATTGATCCATGACATGGACATAATCTAAAACAAATGGCGCCATAAAGCACAACAAACACTGAAAGAAACCCTCACCAGAGTTTCTTCCAGGCATCCCCCCCCCCCAAGGACGAAATGGAATTTATATAGAAAATATATACTTTTGACAGTTCCCCCCCCCCCCTCGGAAATTGTTGTCCGCCCCTCACCCCCTCCCCGAAAATTTCAAGTGCATCCCCGGAGAAAAATGTCTGAAAGAAACACTGACCCACACAAAACACAGGGTTAGAAACCAAAGGCTGGACGGGAAAAGCACATAAGTTAAACTATAAAGAGAAGCGTGTACGTTAAACCATTTTGAAGATGCCTGCATTGGCGCATATTTATTGCAAACATATTTAAAATAATAAAGTTCCTATTTTCATATACTTTTTACTATTTATTTTATAAATGTATTGTAAATCGAACAATGGTAAGAAATAAATGAAAGAACGCAATTGTCTTTTCTGTTTCTATTGATTCGGTCTTGTGATCATTGATTAGTTCTGCCAATACATGGTCACGGTACATTGAACTCAACAGAACTCTGATGTTGGTAGAGTCGAGCACCATATACATCAGCACACCTGGTGGATGTGGGCACTAGAACCAGGTTGATTGATACAATCACAATCTTTGCTTGTACCAGTCTAATACAATCACAATCTTTGCTTGTACTAGGTTGATTGATACAATCACAATCGTTGATTGTACCGGTACTAGGTTAAACGGTAATGTGTACAAGTGGTCTAACTGTGTGCACCTACTTGCTTTAATTAGATCACAGTTGTTGTCCATGCTTGTCTTGAACCAAGACGCCTGCAGGTGTAGTCTGGCACTGAGCGGGTCTCTGGTGTTGTACAGGTGGATCACCTGCTCCAGCATTTTGATGACGTCACTCTCTGATGAGTCTACGATAATACCTGGGAAATAAGGAGCTATGTGTAACAAATTTCGTGTAATAAATGACATTTCGTGTTACTAGATTTTTAGAGAGATCCATAGAAACTCTCAACATGGTGGTATGGTGGAAACCCATGGGGAGGGGGTGGGGGAAGGGACGGGCAGGGGCGAGGGAGGTAGATGCAGGGACGAGAAGGGCACGATAAAAGACAGGTAGGAATTAATTAATTAGAAAATGAACTGAAAATGCTTGGGGTATTCCTTGATTAGAGGAAGATTTGAAAAGTGTGTGTGTTGGGGGAGGGGATGGATGTTAACGTAGGTAATGATTAAACTCTACTAGGGATGAAGATAGGATCAATACAATTTAATTATGAAAAAAGCGCCAAAAAATTTCGCATTGCAGGAAAATAAAACCAGTGAAAGAAGCTGTAAATCAGAGCTCCACACAAGCAGTTTTTTATCAACCCGTGCAGCCCGGCAACCCGTTGGCGGGATGTCACTGAATCTCTTTGTTTGTAGCTGGATATAGTGCAGGTTGTCAGTCTGTAACTGTCTGTGTGTCATTATGTATGTCTAGACGTCACACATAACACCTCTAGACGTCACGCTAAACACCTCTAGACGTCACACTAAACACCTCTAGACGTCACACTAAACACCTCTAGACGTCACATTATATATATATATGTCACACTGTATCTGTTTCGGTCTATAGGTCACTATATGACAGGATAATTACAGTCTCGCCAGGACCTATTCCCCCTCCACCACCACCCAGATATTCCCCCTCCCCACCACCCAGATATTCCCCAACCACCCAGATATTCCCCCACCACCCAGATACTCCTCCCCCACCACCCAGATATTCCCCCTCCCCACCACCCAGATTATCCCCCACCACCCAGATATTCCCCCACCACCCAGATATTCCCCCACCACCCAGATATTCCCCCACCACCCAGATATTCCCCCACCACCCAGATATTCCCCCACCACCCAGATATTCCCCCACCACCCAGATATTCCCCCACCACCCAGATATTCCCCCACCACCCAGATATTCCCCCACCACCCAGATATTCCCCCACCACCCAGATATTCCCCCACCACCCAGATATTCCCCCACCACCCAGATATTCCCCCACCACCCAGATATTCCCCCACCACCCAGATATTCCCCAACCACCCAGATATTCCCCCACCACCCAGATACTCCTCCCCCACCACCCAGATACTCTCCCCACCACCCAGATATTTCCCCAGCACATTTAGCAGCGGAGATGAAATTTCTAGAATTTTCCTACCCGGTTGAGCGATCTGATGAAAATTTGATGTGTTCCGTTTATGAGTGTACCCTATAGGCATGGCCCCTAGCCGGGGGAGGGGGGGATGAACCTTATTAAAATCAATAAGCAATTAGTCAATCAATTAACCAACAGGCTACTATATTATGCAACGCTACAAATAGAGGTGGTCAACCCTTCAAAACAGTTAGGTAAGGATAGAACAAATTCCAGTCTTAGTTGGCTGTACTTGGTCTTGGTGTACAAATCTTGGTGTACAAATCTTGGTGTACAAAATAAGGTGTACAAATCTTGGTGTACAAATCTTGGTGTACAAATCTTGGTCTACAAAATAAGGTGTACAGATCATGGTGTAGTTAGTTTGGTTTATTTAATATCAGTGTACAATAAGATCGTGTACAGAATCAGTGTGGTGTGGTGGAGGTGGTGGTATTTGTAACTTACAGTGTGGTGTATGGGTGGATGTTGTGGTGTTTGGTGGATGCTGTTGTGTACAGTGTGGTGTATGGTGGATGTTGTGGTGTTTGGTGGATGCTGTTGTGTACAGTGTGGTGTATGGTGGATGTTGTGGTGTTTGGTGGATGCTGTTGTGTACAGTGTGGTGTATGGTGGATGTTGTGGTGTTTTGGTGGATACTGTTGTTTACAGTGTGGTGTATGGGTGGATGTTGTGGTGTTTGGTGGATACTGTTGTGCACAGTGTGGTGTATGGTGGATGTTGTGGTGTTTGGTGGATACTGTTGTGCACAGTGTGATGAAACTTAGTTTTCGTGAAGTTTATTAATTAAAACATGTTTTCTGGAGGTGTGTGGAGCCTAAATAAACGATAACTTGCGTACCCATCCCGCGCGTTGCTGCAATATCGGGAGAAAGGCTGAAGTAATATTTTTAGACATTTCTTTAATGAATCATAGTTTTTTGTCCATACTACCGCCATGACGCATCATATCGTAATAGTGAGGTAGAACACACCTCGACAGCCGCCCGATGTGTCAGCTTCTTCTTGGTGCGCTGTCGGGAGCCACTAGTAACACCATAGCAGGGGCGCCACTGGTTACACCATAGGGGGGGGCGCCACTGGTAACACCATAGCGGGGGCGCCACTGGTAACACCATAGGGGGGGCGCCACTGGTAACACCATAGGGGGGGGCGCCACTGGTAACACCATAGCAGGGGCGCCACTGGTAACACCATAGCAGGGGCGCCACTGGTAACACCATAGCAGGGGCGCCACTGGTAACACCATAGCAGGGGCGCCCTGTCCTAGTTAGGTTCAATCATCGAACGTCGTCTGCCACCGTGCCGCAATGGAAGTGTATGCAGAAAGGACAGATACATACAGATATAATTTCATTTATACAGAGAGGGAGAGGGAGAGAGAGAGAGAGATAGAGAGAGAGAGAGAGAGAGAGAGAGAACCTTACCACCCAAGACACAGATAACTCCATTGATTATTTTCTCTATCAGCTCTTCTGTTGGACGTGTCAGTCTACACGTCATGCAGGTCAAAGTGTCAGGCACTCCTCAATGGCGGCTGAGACCTAGACACAGTAGCCTGGATTTATTTCTTGTCTTTTCAGAGGCGTCAAGGACGGTTGATGATGATTTCAGTTAATCTCAGCGCAGACAGACAGACAGACAAACAGACAAACAGACAGACAAACAGATAGACAGACAGACACACAGACACACAGACACACAGACACACAGACAGATTCACAGGCAGGCAGACAGACAGACAGACAGACAGACAGACAGACAGACAGACAGACAGACAGACAGACAGACAGACAGACAGACAGACAGACAGACAGACAGACAGACAGACAGACAGACAGACAGACAGACAGACAGACAGACAGACAGACAGACAGACAGACAGACAGACAGACAGACAGACAGACAGACAGACAGACAGACAGACAGACAGACAGACAGACAGACAGACAGACAGACAGACAGACAGACAGACAGACAGACAGACAGACAGACAGACAGACAGACAGACAGACAGACAGACAGACAGACAGACAGACAGACAGACAGACAGACAGACAGACAGACAGACAGACAGACAGACAGACAGACAGACAGACCGACGGACGGACGGACGGACGGACGGACGGACGGACGGACAGAAAGGAGAGGGGATCGAGCGAATGAAAGACAGTAGTGCAGACGAAGCACCACAAGTAACTCGAGTAGATCTGGGTTCACTAAGCGAGCCGGAAGTCGCAGGGGACGTAACCGGTGTCAAGGGACAGAAGTGCGGTATTGTCACCCTGCTATGGCCGACCACCCCCGATAGCCACCGCTGTTTGTTTAGTCTTGTGGAGGTGACTGAGATATGATCTCCAGCTAGCGGTGCTAAAATCTCATTTTTCGCTAGAATGGTGATGGGATTTACTGGCTACTTCTCGCATTTTTTACGGCTACACCCGGTAGCTCTCATGTAGCGACTGAGGAAAATATTCGGATGTTCTTGTAGTTGAAAACAAAAGCCTGGGGATATGAGCCTTTTGTTTAATATTTATGTCTGTATGGGCGCTTGAAAGTGGGGAGTGATGAGATTGGCCAGATAAATATTTAAAAGACGCCCCGGGCGTTAGGGGCATCATTCACACCAAAACATGAAAATTGTTTCAATAGTTGTTTCAGTAGGCTTAGTTTAAAGAAATTGTTGCTTTAATCATTTCAGTTTATGCTTTGAAAATAAATCTTTTCTGTTGTCGCTTTAAGTTTTTGGAACAACAAGAGCACACATATTATAATAGATTCTAATAAGTTTTTAAAACACACTGTAGACAATGAAATAAAACAGACTTTCTTTCTATAGTAAACCTATTCTTCGTTATAATGTGCACATATTTCCATGAACGACCACTATTTTAAATAAAGTGGGAGTGATCTCCCCTTAACTTTCTCGAATATTTTTTAGAAAACACTAATGGGTATGGCAACCCCAGTGTAATTGGTAGGCCTATATAGGAGTTCAAAAAAAAATTCAAATTTCAAATGCTTGATTATTTAAAACAGAATAGAATTTCGTACATAATAGTTAGGAAGATTAGTATTTTAAAAAAAGAAAGACAGAGGAATCAAGTTAAAAATGAATTCATATGCTTTTCTTGAAAAATCAGAAATGTTGTAAAGTTATACTTCCCATCACCGGAAATGACTAAAAATTTGTCAGAAAACAGAGAATTAGTTCTTTTTCAAAAGTATGGAATTTATTTATTCTAACAAACTGAGTTATAGGCTTTTGAAAAATTAAAAGTAGAATAATTTCCACTTCCGGTAACAGGAAATCGCTGAACAGCTGACATAAAAGTAAAGATTTGATGTAATACTTATATATTAGATTTCATCAACCTAGCTGTAACGGTACACACTGACATCCACACGGACAGAATTGCAAAGTCCAGTTTTTTTAATTTTTGCCCGATTAAAATAAGTCCCCGATACTCCGTATATGATGAAGCGCTGAGGTGTAAAACGATGAAAATTGTCAAAATTTCATGTGATTTTTGTGCACGCTTACAATACTTCCTCTATACTCACTATACGAGAATATAAAAATCTATAATTTTGTTTCCCCGGTGCTTTCAAAAGTTTGTTATTACAAACGTTTTATTCTTGTTTTATTCTCTACTATTTAGATAATGTAAAGAAACAAGAGTAGGCCGATACGGTAAGTTTTAAAAACAATGAGT